TATATATATATATACAAGTAAATGCGTAGCATACAGGGCTCACTTACATTTCGAACCGAAATACACTTCGAGATTTGCTACGAACGTGTACATCAAATGCCAGAAGTGGCCGCGCACAGTAAAATAACAAAACATAGTATTTGAATAGCAAAGCTATTTCGTGATACAAACTCATCCTTAGTTAAATAGATAGACACGGCTTACTGATGATTGCGATCACTGCCAACCAATGACTACAATATTGCCTAGTTTCTATCCGATATCTCTTGCTATAACGCTGCTGTTTCTCACCGCGAATCTCCCACCAGCTTAGATCGCCACCCAAAACCCATGGCAATGCGCTTGCAAGCCCTACGATTCTTTTCAAATGGCTCAATGTCATGATATTGATTGGCATGATGTGTAACATGCAAACTGAGGTATCTACGTGTTTATACTGTCACTTTCAAATAGAGCCCGGACAACGGTGTGTTGTACTGAATATACCGCTATTGTTTTGAAATCTTTACGCTTATAACATGCTACACGGCTGTACTGAGACAGAGCCATATTTCGCTATGATAGTTTTATTAAGTGAATTGTATGTCCCGTTACACCCCCTCTAGAGTCATACAGTGAACCTTTCAAAATGGCGTCTCTGAATAACTCGCGATAAAGAGGTTTCCGCCGCACACTGCCATTTCAATCCCCGCTCAGTACTATGTAATGTATGACGTTCCGTGAGTGATTTCCGTCCTCTATTATGGACGTTCTGTCGGCGGTTCACGCTCACAAATAAATATCTATAAACATGTCCCATAGTCCTTTGCGGCATATTTATAATTTTCGTCTACATAGCCTCCTAATAAATCAGGCAAGAGGCCATGTTCTCTACTACTACTAGAGAGAGAGGGCCATGCATGCATGTATTAAAATGTACGTATGTACGCGGTAGAAAGGTGTCTAAATTTAGTAATTTACGAACACCTATATTTATTACAACCCGTTGAAAACTGTAATCGCTACATACTCGCGAGGGATCTCAGTTGGGACTGGGTCTGGGCGTCGTGGGCGAGTGCCGAGTGGGCGGACTGGGCGCCTGAGCCGCCCTCAGGGGCTGAGCTCAAAACGTTACCCGATAAAACTTTTATTCATATGTAGCCTCCTTTTTATATATATATAAAAAAACAATACTTCAAAAAAATAAATTTGACTACAGTATACAACCCACACGATATTAAATACGTTAAAAAGTTTATAAATATATCCGAAAATATAACCACCCTTCATAACGTTCAATTTAAACAACAATCACAACTCTGTGTAGTTTTAACTGCGCACCTATAACGTATAGTCTGGGGTCATGTGGTGCTGTGAATCTGCCAAATCGAACCAATTATATCACGTTTCCAACGTAGGCCCGCGTTGGGTTTTTGGTTTGTCTCGCAATAGACTTATTTGAGACATATTTTCGAGTTTACGACATACTTGTGCTGTCGTAAACGGAAATTCAGAAGCGTTCGGCACTCTACCTAATTGTCATACGCACTTTTACCATGACCAAATATTTCTGTCGTAATATCTGGTCGGAAACTTGAGCCGAAAAACTCAAAAAGTGAATACGTAAGGTCTATCCAGATAATCCAATCAGATGATCTGTAGTACATAGTAGTATAATAAAAGCCTCCAAAGTTTTTTAGCATACTGATATAGGACTCTATGTATAGGACTATCCGAACAAGTATTGAATATTCATAGGGTGCGCTATTTATATGTATCTATATATATAAAATGTGTATATACAGACACTTTACAACAGATCCAGAAGACCTGTAAAGTGCATTGGCAGCTTGATACTCACACACACAAACACAATCATCATGTTAAAGTGCCAAAGAATTCTGCGTCCAGCTGTGACGGTGAACGCTAGAGTCGCGCTACGTCGACGTGGTTTGCAGGTGAGCGATTACAATCACCTACTTGTAGGAAAATAATTATTTATTTATATATATAAGCGACATCTCATCATATCGATGTGCGTATGACATACAATGGTACGTATATACTTATGAGAACTAAGTACATCTAGCTACATCTCTGTACCTATTTCTCTACATTTTTCTATGTATGGATTGCATTTTTTCTCTCCTACATCTGATATTCGGCAGTTCACCTTTATTTGTTGAGTGGTAAGTAGTCCACATCTCAAGAATTTGCCAAAAATATTTGTAGGTGTAAATCAGTCTGTGCCGCACAATCCATGCAAGCACCACCACAAACCTTTATTTTGAAAATGTATACAGTCTCTGTGTGTGTGATCGAAATGGCTAGGCATAGATTTTCCTCGTTTAATCTAAAGCTTTGATCGCGCATAAAGATATATATATATATATTTATATATATATATATATCTATATATATATATATATACTTATACTTATACCAATACTTGTAAATACATATATACATAAATGCATATATACACATACTATATAATATATATATATATATATATATATATATATATATATATATATATACGCACATATATACATAAATATGCATCTGTATATATATATATATGTATATATATATATGTGTGTCAAGATATATACATGACAATACTTGCATTTGTGAAAGCAATATACATATAAATATATAAAAGTATATACCTGCATGTTCGTATTTTATTTTGAATATGTATATATATGTATATATATGTATTGTACATATATGTCCATATTAGTATATGTACTCGTATTTATATGTATATGTGGATTCGTGTGTGATTTAACTGTATAAGTATGTATACATAGACACAGACACACACACATGTATATATGTATATATATATTTATATTTATATGTATATTTTTGTGTATGTGTATGTATATATAATGTGCGCTTTTACTGTCATATATATATATATATAAATATATACAGATGTATTATGTTTCTGATTGTTTGATAACTACAAGCAAAGTTATTGTGTTCAATCGAAGGTATACTTTGTGTGCGTTTATATGATTACACTGTCATATATATATATATATAAATATATATATACAGATGTATTATGTTTCTGATTGTTTGATAACTACAAGCAAAGTTATTGTGTTCATTCGAAGGTATACTTTGTGTGCGTTTATATGATTACATATCCATACACCTGTATACGTGTTTCTTATATTTATATACACTTGTATGTACGCTCACATATATTCGCGTGTATGTTGATGCATATATGAATATGTGTAGAAGGTATAGACTAAACTTTCAGCTATGTACAAATATGTGCACGAGGGTATGCATCCAAATTTCTGTACATATATTTGCGTGCGTGCGTGTGTGCAAGTGTGTATGCATTTTATTTGAACAGGTGCATATGCACACATTTATAGTATGTGAATGTGCCTTCGCCCAGTCTCTCCATGATCCCACTGGGTCTATCACTGGCTTGTTTTGTATGCCTCATATACACATACATCCTATTCACCAGTTTGTTATACATCATATTCACCAGTTTGTTATCCATTATCAGAAGACGCCTATTCTGTTGTATCATTCTAGAGGTCGTGTTATTGGATTGTGCCTTTTGATGTCTAGAACGGGTTTGTGCACAGAGATGTCAGATATGTGGATGTATAGTTGTGTGATCATATCGTTTTGGGTCTACTATGTATCGACTTTCCCGTACACTTTATTGCAACACCCTCTATTTAAACCAAGATATACCGCAGAGTGCATCCATATCCCTGCCTGCCCCATATGTCTAAACTGTTGTACGTACTGCCCTGTATCATAGACAGCCTCGCGTTTAGTTCAGTCTATGCAATCCAACCCAGCCCAAACTAACCCACTACGCACACTACCCGATATCACAGACGGCTACCCGTGCGTTCTGCAGTCCCCTCCGATCGTCGCGTGCGGTACAGAAGCCGTACCACTGGAACTACACACGAGCGTTCAGGACAAGCGCCACATGTCACAAGGCCATCAGCTTCAACCTCGCAGACATTGGCGAGGGTATTGCCGAGGCGGAGGTGCTGCAATGGTTCGTCGAAGTAGGGGATAAGGTATGATTGAAGAGACGGATATACCTCCGAAACCCCTCAAACCCTGGTATATGTCCAGTTCTCTGAATCACCATCGAACGATGTGTCTGCGGGTGTGGCGGTGGCGTGTGCCTCGTTGCCCGTGGGTGTATGGGTGCGCGTGTTTATACTCCCCTGTGGCCCCGTCCAGACAGTTCGGTAGCAATTCGTATGTACTTTTATCGGAGTCTCTTGGTATGTTCTTTAGCCATAGTCGTAGTTGGGCTGGTCATTCTTTGGCCGTGGCCGTATACACTTACTGACAGTTGCATTCTTTATATATTATCATATGCATTACATTTGTGGACTGTATCGCTTATAATATATACTTTTCTAACGACACTTTTGTATGCGTATGTTGCGCATACCACAGGTCGAAGAATTCGATCCCATCTGCGAAGTGCAGAGTGACAAAGCCACAGTAGAGATCACATCACGGTACAACGGTACAATCTTGAGGAAACACTACGAAGTGGGCGACATGGCCAAGGTCCAGGCGGTAAGTATTGTGTATATATGTTGTCCCTGTGTCCGCATATATATATATATATATATGTGCGCGTGTGTATGTATGTATGTGTATAGGGGTTGTATTGATGTATTGATGTATGTATCTTATAACCACATATGTCTCCTCTATACACAAACTGTTTGGGTGTATATGGTTATCCATAAGATTGTGTGATCACATCGATTAAACAATACCATAGCAAGCAAAACTGTTCTATATATATATATGTAAGGAATATACCCACCATAGTAGACACCCTAGGAATAGCCCTAAATGCCCTAAAACCTCCCTCCAGAAGATCAAAACACATAGCCTTTGACTATAACAGAGCATGCTAAACAACGAACAATAAAATCACTCAACTCTCAAGTTGAACTCCTGAAAACTTCAACCCCTTAATCAGCTTGTGATAGTCGCTCTAGGAAGTACCATGAGCCACGTACTCTGAAGCCATATCACCCCGTAACAACCTACAATCACAATTCGACAGTAGGATGCAAGTGGATGTTAAAACATCCAACAACAACCGTACCCATCCAAACTCCTTTCAACCCTAAACTCTACAACCTTAGACCCTAAACCTTACAACCCTAAACACCCCCCGACAACAGCCTCTGGTCGACATCGATCAAGAGGGCTCTGGTGGCGAGTCCAGTGCAGATACTACAGCAACCAAGGACCAACAAACACCCACCCCACAACAACCAACTCCATCATCATCATCTGGGGCAACGGGTGACGCAGAGGCTCACACGGCACATCATCGCAAGGAGCCGGTCAACTTTGTGGAGGTGGAGAAGGCCTTGGCCACGCCGGCTGTACGCCGTATTGCGCGAGAGAATGATATTGATTTGAGGACGGGTATGTGTGTTTGTATGCTTGGGGATGTACGTTTGTATGCTTTATGCATGAATAAGTTACGTCAAAGGGTAGAATGTGGCCATTCACTTGTTTGCCTCTATGTAGGAGTGTGATACGATATGGTCTTTGAGTTACTATTGGGTGAGATGTATATATATTTATAAATATATATATATATTTATATATATATATATATATATACATATACTTATATACGGGTATTTGTGCATGTACACATATATATATTTATCTATCCCATCTTTCAACCCCAACCCCAGTCCCCAGCTCCGGTAAAGACGGCCGTGTGCTGAAGGAAGACATCCTGGAATTCCTCGACAACGGTGGCGTCACCAAAGACGCACAAACCGCAAAGTCCGACTCAGCCGACTCATCCACAGACACCGGCGCGCACGTACACAAGCGTTCAGGCATGCTACTCACCCGAGAAGACACCAAGATTCAGGTCAAGGGTGTGCAGAAGGCGATGGTGAAGAGTATGATGGCGGCCAATGGGGTGCCCCACTTCACCTATGGCGACGAGCTGAACATGAACAACCTCATCACTCTGCGAACCCAGCTCAAGCCTATTGCCGCCGCCAGGTATATATATATATATGTGTGTGTTGCATGTAGGTGATCGTGTGTGTGTGCGTGTTGCATGTAGGTGATCACGCGTGTGTGTACCTGTGACACAAAAGGCATATGTAGACATGTACAAGTATATAAGGTGCATGGTTGGCTTGCTGAGGGACTGCGTCGAGTATTAACACGTCTGGGACTCTATGTAGCGGTGTGCGTCGTACACTATAAGTACCTGCTTTCATCACACACTCTGAACCGAGTATATTCAGCGGTCCTATCATATCCATCAACGTACCACCAGATAGGTACACGTAGGTCTCGTACCAATAGAGACCGTAGCAGATATTAGACACCCCAACAACAACTGACGGTACGTCCCCTATCGTTTACCTACACAGCGGCGTGAGTCTGTCGTATCTACCGTTTATTTTGAAGGCCATGTCGCTGGCACTCAACGACTATCCCATGGTCAACGCACACGTGAACGACGATGCGTCAGAGGTCATATACAAGGTGAGGGCACTTGAGTCATACTGTTAATTTCCATTGTCATTATTAATGTTATTGATATTATCATGATTATTAAGATTTTTATTATACTGTTCAATAGACAAGAAGCACAAATGATTAATGAGTCACGGATGAGTTTATGTGTGCTGACATATTCGCTTATGACACGTCGTCGTTTGTACAGGGCGCGCACAACATCCGCGTTGCCATGGATACGCCGCAAGGTCTGTTGGTCCCAAGTGTGAAGAATGTCCAAGATTTGTCCATCTTCGAGATCGCCGCTGAACTGAATCGCCTGCAAACAGCGGTATGTACGATATATATATATATACTTATACTTGTATATCTGTGTCTATGTGCATGTGTAGTGTCGTAAAGATATATCTTCTCGAAGATTGCCATTAGTCCGAATCGTTGTTATTTCACATTTAGCCTTTCGTGCGAGTGGTGTTCATCCTAGTGCGTGTACCTAGATATGGTGTTGTATGTGCATGCGCTGGTCTGTTGGATCTTGCTTCGAGACGTACATATCCGTGCAATGTGATGTGCAATTCATCCGACAAGTACAGAACCAATCGAATGAATACAAACATACATAACATACATAACACATATACTACATACATACATACATCTACCAATACTCGACCGTTGTCTAAAGGATATTCTAGCCTGTGACTAACCGGTAAGCGCAGAGCATATCACTCGCATACGTGCATCCTCACGAACACACCACACCAACACACAACCGTAATCTCACAGATACACACACTTACACACGTCTTTCTACCTCAGGGAGCCGCAGGGAAACTGACCACCGAAGACATGTCGAACGGAACCATCTCCTTCTCAAACATCGGCGCTATCGGTGGCACCTATATGCGCCCTGTACTTGTTTGTCCAGAGGTAGCCATCGCTGCCATTGGCCGTGTGATGTCAGTGCCTCGCTTCGATGACAAGATGGAGGTGTATAACGCCCAGATTGCGAATATCAGTTGGTCAGGTATGTTGGGTTCTCCTCATGCGTGCATGCATGTATTGATATATTTTTATATCTGTGTGTGTTTTTCTTCTGTGCGTGTCTGTGAGCTTCTCTTGGTAACATATATGTTCTTCTTTTTGTTCACAACCCTAAACCCTAAGACATTGTAACTGCCAACAGATCCGGTAGTTCTTTCACTGCCCATGCGAATACATCATATACTTGACATTCATTAGCGTAAACCCTAACGTACCTTCTCCGGTTTCTTATTTATGCGTGCAGGTGATCATCGAGTACTGGATGGCGCCACCATGGCACGATTCAGCAATACGATGAAATCTTATGTGGAAGACCCACACACTATGTTAATGCATATGAAGTAAACACCGTCTAGGGTTGATTTAGTTATGGTCTGTGGTAGATAGAACGATGGAGATATGAAAGCATATTGGTTCTAAGCAGGCGAATGTAGAAAGTCAATAAATGTATATAGTAATCAAGGTAATTGAAGACCCAAACACTAAGTTAATGCATATGAAGTAAACATCGCCTAGGGTTGATTTAGTTAAGGGCTTTTGAAAATAAATGGATCTAGGTACGAAAGTGTATTCTTTTTTAGATGTACTTAGTATCGAAAGTAATGGAAGCCCCACACAGTATCAAGCAGGTGAAGCAAACATCATATAGTGTTGCTGTGTTAGATAAGACCTGTGTTAGTTAAGTAGAGCTGGGCATGGAAGTTTGTTTCTGGGTAAGCAGGAGAATGGAGAAGGACAATAAAGTGAATAGTGCCGAAGTTCATCATATCGTACTCTACTGCACATGTAGCGGCACTTGAAGCGTGCGACAGAACAGATGGGAATATAAACTTCTATACCAATAGTGCCTAAGCCGGAGGAGTCAAGTCACTTCGTACAGTCCGTCTGGAAGGGGCCAATTTAGACATTAAACGTATATATATATTCATGCTCCGCTCTCGAAGGGTTGCTTAGTCCTTAAATTAGACGTATCAAACGTATATATGTAAATATATATATATACGCTCTCGAATGAATACTTAGTCCCTGATGAACGCTATGAAGTGCATGTACTGCATCCCCACAGAAGGGTGTACCCGTAACTATAACATGCTATTCATGTGTTGCATATTTCAATCACACACTACATACTGCGCAAACCAGGCATCTAGGTACACTACCATGCTAATAGAATACAAACCCACACAGTACATGACTACATACTTGTCTGTTTATTCATAGCCTTCTAAATTGATAAGGCTATGGTTTATTTCTTTGCTTTCGTTGTCTTGTTTATTTCTTTGCTTTCCCAATTGACAAGGCTATGGTTTATTTCTTTGCTTTCATTGTCTGTTTATTTATTTGCTTTCTCAATTGATAAGGCTATGGTTTATTTCTTAGCTTCGTTTATTACTTTGAAGCCTATGGTTTATTTCTTTGCTTTGATAAATTGACAAGGCTATGGCTTATTTCTGTGCTTTCATTGTCTGTTTATATCTTTTCTTTGTAAATTGATAAGGCTATGGTTTATTTCTTTGCTTCGTTTATTACTTTGAAGGCTATGGTTTATTTCTTTGCTTCGTTTATTACTTTGAAGGCTATGGTTTATTTCTTTGCTTCGTTTATTACTTTGAAGGCTATGGTTTATTTCTTTGCTTCGTTTATTACTTTATGGTTTACTTCTTTGCTTCGTTTATTACTTTGAAAGCTATGGTTTATTTCTTTGCTTCGTTTAATACTTTGAAGGCTATGGTTTATTTCTCTGCTTCGTTTATTACTTTGAAGGCTATGGTTTATTTCTTTGCTTTCTTAGTCGCTGCACCGCTAGGGCCTGTTTTGGACTCCCTATCGGCCTCTCGCTTCTTGCCCATTTTCTTCAGATCCAGACTGCAGGTGAATAAACGCAGAATATATATACATGTGTGTGATATATATATATATATCTGCAGGTGAATAAACGCAGAATATATATACGTGTGTGTGATATATATATATATCTGCAGGTGAATAAACGCAGAATATATATACATGTGTGTGTGTGATATATATATATCTGCAGGTCAATAAAAGAAGAATATATATACATGTGTGTGTGAGTGATATATATATATCTGCAGGTCAATAAACGCAGCACAGACGGGATATGTCAACAACCAGCGCTACATATGGCGCACGGCTACAATGATAGTCACACAGTCAACCATTCAGATGTGTACAAATGTTGTGTACAAATGTACTTCCCTACGAGAAAATGCGGCACTGTGGTTTGGGCTTCAAACACACTATGCCACGGGGACGTTGTTATGTGTAGTTCTATGCATTAGAGTATATGGTACGCGCTTCTGTGTGAAAGTGCGATATGTAACTAGCGTGTTCCATGCATTTACATTTGTATCACCTGATAGGAGTTTAGGGGTTTAAAACCCCTAAAAACCCTGCTACAAAACACAGTCGGTTGTATCGCTACACGGGTCGTATCATCGAGACACAACTGCTCACCACATCCAAAACACTCAACAAGAAACATCGTCTCAAAACGACCTCTCCTTGAAGACACCCGAACAAACAAACAAACGGTACACTCAGTTGGCACGCCCTTGTCAATCAACGCACTTCCGCTAAGACATACCGTTGAATATACTCAAACCATGGTTTTAAATACAGTTTGCACGCTAAGACATACCGTTGAATATACTCAAAACATGGTTCTAAATACAGTTTGCACGCTAAGACATACCCTAAGACATACAGTTGAATAGACTCAAAACATGGTTTTAGATACAGTTTGCACGCTAAGACATCCGTTGAATATACTCACAATATGGTTTTAGACACAGTTTGCACGCTAAGACATACCGTTGAATATACTCACAACATGGATTTAGATACAGTTTACACGCTAAGACATACCGTTGAATATACTGAAACCATGGATTTAGATACAGTTTACACGCTAAGACATACCGTTGAATATACTCAAACCATGGTTTTAGAGACAGTTTGCACGCTAAGACATACCGTTGAATATACTCAAACCATGGTTTTAGAGACAGTTTGCGCACAATGGGTAACATACTTCTGCTGTCCTGACAGCACGACATAAGCGGAGCCAGTGGCTTCGTTCTTCCTGCGTAGTTTGTCGACGGTGTCTAAGGGAGTGTCTGTGTTGCTCATCTTATTCAAGGACAGCTGCTCTGCACGCTTCTTCATCATCTTCTCGATCTTGGCCTAGTGAGGTATAGAGTTATAGGGTTATAGAGTTATAGAGTTGTAGAGTTATAGAGTTGTAGAGTTATAGGGTTATAGGGACATAGAGTTAGAGTTATAGAGTTATAGTTATAGAGTTATAGAATTGAATAGGAGGAAGGGCGTGAGTACTGGAACAAGGTGTTTGCTAGGTATTCGGCCCTACGACAATGTATGTACACACATGGCGATAGGCAATGGGTTCTACTACAAGGTATATACTGAGTATCGAGTCCTATGACATTGTACACACATATGGCGATAGGGGTGGCCGTATACTACCAGGCGTGGTATAGCCCAGCCATACGAGTCCAAAATCAATAGACATACGAGTTTAAAATCAATAGACGCACATAGTTCACAGGCACTAGCTTTTACACGCGCAAACACATACGCATACATATGTCAATAGGGACACGCGAGCACAGAAGAAGCCAACGCAAACGTATACATTACATCACGGCCTAGCCTCTACACGCGCAAACACACACGCATGCATATGTCAACACGAGAGAACAAAAGTAGCCAACGCAAACGCAAACGTATACAATGCATCACGGCCTAGCCTCCACACGCTCAAACACACACGCATGCATATGTCAATAAGGACACGAGAGAACAAAAGTAGCCAACGCAAACGCAAACGTATACAACGCATCACGGCCTAGACTCCACACGCGCAAACACACACGCATGCATTAAATAAAGACACGAGAGCAAAGAAGAAGCCAACGCAAACGTAAACGTATACAATGCATCACGGCCTAGCCTCCACACGCTCAAACACACACGTATGCATATGTCAATAAGGACACGAGAGAACAAACGAAGCCAACGCAAACGCAAACGTATACAATGCATCACGGCATGGCCACCCGTGGAGAATGAAGGCGTTAAGTCGTTTTCATTTCTCAGTTGTTTCGGGTGAGATGATCTGTACACCTATATGACGATAGTATACACACAGACATGCAAGGTACACACAGACATGCAAAATAGACACCGACATGCAAGATACACACAGACATGCAAGATACACACAGACATACATGCAAGATACACAGACATGCAAGATACACACAGATATCCATGCAAGATACACAGACATGCAAGATACACAGACATGCAAGATACACACAAACATACATGCAAGATACACACAGACATGCAAGATACACACATACATGCAAGATGTCAACAACATGCACGCATCTGTAGACAGAAGGATAAAATGACACACACAAGTACCTTGCCAGGTATATAATATGACACACACAAGTACCTTGCCAAGTTTATAATATGACACACACAAATACCTTGCCAGGTTTAATGCCGTGGAATTTGTAGGAGAGCTGTCGGAAGGCCTCCTTCACATCGATGGTGTGGCCACTCTCGTCGTAGTATTCCAGCTTTGAGTCTGGGTTGTAGTCGCGTAGTTCCTCAAACGTGCCACCGCCCCGTCTGTCCCTAGTGCAGCCGAAAGAATGCGTGCTAGTTAGTGAGTTGCAACAATTCTTCTGTTGAGGTAGTAGGAACGTTTGTGTGTGTGTGTGTGTGTAAGTATGCATGTGTATATGTATGTGTGTGTGTATCTATGAATGTAGGAATGTATGTGTGTATATGCATTGTGTGTGTGTATTTATGATTGTAGGAATGTATGTCTTTGTTGAGGTAGTAGGTACGTTTGTGTGTGTGTGTGTGTAG